TGTGCTGGTAGCTTTAGTGTGGTCTTGTTTGTGAACATTTGGGTAAATGCCCAAAAGTGGGATTGCTGAGTCATAGGGGAGCTCTATGTGGAGTCCTATTGTGTGTCTTTTAAAGACAATACAATGAGGGGGCTGGGAAGGTGGCTCAGTGTTAGAGCGCTTGCCTTGCATGCATGAGGCCCTGGGTTCGATTCCTAAGCACCACATAAGCAAAAAAGAAAAATGCCGGAAGTGGCGTTGTGGCTCAAGTGGTAGAGTGCTAGCCTTGAGCTGAAGAGCTAAGGGACAGCGCCCCGGCCCAGAGTTCAGGCCCCATGACTGAACCAAAAAAAATAATAATAATAAAATAAAAACAATACAATGAATTTGACTTTAAGATAGCCTAAGAGTCCTGATCATTTAATAGGAGAGATTAATCCATTTGTGATTATTAGGAAAAGTAATATATTTTATTTTTATGCTGTTGGTTTTCCCTATGACTTCTGTTTTTATGTTTTTAATGTATTCTTGCTACATAGTTTACTTTCTTTATATTGCTATTTAGACGATGAGTTGTTTTCTACCCCTGCATATTAGTGATTTTCCAAAATGTTTTTCCCCTACCCTTTGTGTATTTTATTGTCTTCATTATGCTATAGGCAATTTTCAAAGACTCACATTGCTAGTGGTGTTTTTCTACGTATTTTTCTATTTTTTAGTCTTTTTTGCAAAAATATAATTTTATTGTTATTCTTAAGGTGTTATACAGAGAGTTTACCATTTCATATGCCAGGCAATGAGTATAATTCTTTTTGGACAATATCACTCCCTTTACTTATTCCTTCCAAGTCTAGTTTTTCCCTAAAAGATAGTTTGAATTCTTTTTGCTTTGGATAGCCTATTTCCACTTGGCTGCTACTGGAGATCTCAGAGAGGTCAAGCTGGAGGGCTATGTGCCAGTTCAGCATCCGACATCCTAGCAAGCAGTGAGGGGCCATGGACAATGGTTCACCTTGGAAGCAGTTCTTATTTTTGCTTCATTTGTCTCATTTCTTGGCAAGACCACAGTGCCACATGCCAGACCTAATATGTCAGATCTTCTTCCTGGTACATAAATAGTTTTGTGCCTTTGCCCAATCTTACACACCGAGTTTCAAAGTCAGTCAAGAACTTGCTGCCTGAGCTGCTGCTGTTGGCGCCTGTGGCCTGATCTCTGAGCAGCACTGTCTCCAAGCACAATTCACTAGGCAACTTCCTGTATTATCAGAAAGGACATGATCCACCATCTTGTGAACTCACTCTACAGAGTCCAGACTAACAGCTATAAGCCAGCAGAATCAGCCAAAAGTCCAAGCCATCTGTCATCCCAACTAGCCTCAACCCTAGCTTATCCTTGTCTCCTTGAAGGTAGCTCTTAGGTCCTTCCCATACATCTAACAGCCTGTTCCCACCTCTTACTCTCTTCTATTCAATCCAGAAGTAATTATGGAGTATAGAATCTCCTTTATTTATATCCCAGAAATAGAAAATGAAAGTACAGAATATCCAGTTAGATTTGAGTCTCGAAAAATCAGAAACAGTATTTACGTATGTCTCCAATACTATTTAAAGCATATTTATACCCAAAAAATTGTTTATTTTAAATTCAAATCAATGTCTTAAAAAAAATTTTTGGTCAGTCGTGGGGCTTGAACTCTGCGCTTGGGCGCTATCCCTGCACTCTTCAGCTCAAGGCGAGCGCTCTACCGCTTGAGCCACAGTGCCACTTCCAATGTCTTAAATTTTATCGAGCAGTCTCACGCAAGGGACTGTACAATTCATTTGAGGAGCAATTTTTAAGTCACCTTTGGTTATCTTTTTTTTAATCAGTCAACTTTCTAAAAGCATAATTGTATTTGTAGAATTTCCTCAAAATGCTAGAATTTGGCAGTCTCATCCTTAGTGTCATCCACAGAACTAAGGTTTGTCACTTTCTTGTATTTACTAAGTAATTTCTATCCCAATTGTAGGAGTCAGGGGTTGGAGGTACATTCTCAAGCTGATTTTATATTTTATTTTAATATACATTTTCTTTAATAGAAAAGCTCAAAGAATATCAAAAGAATAGTACCACAAATCACTAAGTACCCATTGCCAAGATTTGAAATGCCAATGATTTACAATTTTACTGATTGCTAGCATTCTGGAAATCTGTCAGAGGAACACCCACACCATATAGCTTCCTCCTTATTCTTTTTGGTAGGTGAGGGAGCAGCAACAATGAGAAGTACAAGTCGTTATGTCAAAACCAAACTTTACAACTTTAGTGGGGGGAGGGCGGGGAGGATTGCGGGGGAGGCTGGGGAAAGATGGGAAGGGATGGGAAGGGGAAACAAAGGAGGAGGCTACAATGCTTGATAAGAAATGTACTCATTTTCCTGCCCATGTAATTGTAACCCCTCTGTACAGTATTTTCACAATAAAAATAAATAAACATTAAAAAAAGAAAAATCCCAAGCACCCTTTCACCGATTAACACTTCAGAACTTCTCAATATTCTTTCAGAAATATTTCGTTGGTTATACTAGCCTACACTGATTTCTTTTATTTTATTGTAAAGATGCTGTACAGAGGGGTTACAGTTACAAGAGTAAGGCAATGAGTACATTTCTTGTTGAGCATTGTCACTCAAATTTGCAGATAAATTTTCTCATTCCAATGAGTTCATCAGGGCTTATCGCCTCTATCTATATTATCCCACACCATCCCAGGGACCCAGTGGCTGTGGACTGAAGGGAAGCATTCTGAAGGGTGGTCTTACCTTTAGAGTGTCAAAATCTTTCTCCAAGTAGGAGCCACACTTTTCACTCTCCCCTATGGAGGCAAAGAATTTGCTCCACCAGTCAATGAACTCCTCCTCCTAAGCAGGAAGAAAGAAAGAGACCATTTAAGAAACAATTTGCCAAGCAAGGTCCTTCTGAATGACACATCTTCCAAGGTGGAGTTTACGTGAACAGGGAACCAAAACCCTCACAACTCCATAAACAAAGGATCCACTAACCAGAGGAGGTTTTAGCACCTGAGAGTAATATAAGAGGCATAGGTTCTACACTAACTTGCATGTGTTCATTTAAGGACAATCTCTTTATTGTGAAGTAGTACCTTTTACATCTTAGGGATAAAGTGAAGCTGAAATCAGAGGGTGCAGAGGATACTCTGGGGAAGGCACCAATAACATATTATTCATCAGTAAATAAATCTAGGAAAGCTCAAAGCTCAAACCTGGCCCTTGTTCCCTATTATCAGTACTTAGAATCCTAAGGTCAAATCAAGACTGAGTTTCTGGGGGAAACAATTAACAAATACTTCCTCTATTCAAAAGACACTGTTAAGTAAGGGGAAATTTGTTAGCAGAAAGGAAGTTTCATCATCTCATTCTCTGCCCTTTCCTTCCACCCATCATTTAGATTTGAAGGAAAAGGTTGGCCTGTTGTCTGCTGGCCTCTCCACCTTTTGCATAATGTGCAGCCACAAGCACTGTTGACTTTTGTCTAGAATGTTCTTCTAGATGGGTCTAGGTAGCATGCCCTGTTCCCAGGTCTGCCCCAGAAACCCACCCAGGACTGGCCATTCAGGTTAAGCCTCTTGAAGCTCATCCAGCTTAGTGCAAAAAGCCAGGGAGGAGAAGCCCTGGAGATTTCTGTATGAAGGGGTAGCTAGGAGCTGCACTATGGCTGTACAGGGAAGGCAATATCAATCATGGAGTTTCTAAAAGTGCTTGAAGCCAAAGCTAAATCCTTTGAAGTTCTGGATTTTGAAGGGTGACCACAGTCTGAAGCAGGTACACTAGAGAAAAGATTACATGAGGTGGTCTGAGCGCCCACCTTTCCCAGAAGTATGGTCCTAATGCTTTTGGCATGGCCAGGTGTGGTCCCCAGACACAGAGCAGAGAACAGCAGAGTTGTCACTATGGGACCCACTTACCAGGAGTATCTTCTGCAGCCAGTAAAAAGAAACAGAGATTCAGGTGGATTAAGACCAGAGAAGCAGAGCTTTCTAACTTACAACCACTCCAGGAAACACCAGCATAGAGCAAGGAGACCCACCCCTGATGTTTAAAATTTACTTTAAAGAAAGACACTATAAGGAACACACATACAGAGACATACATATCAAACTTACACAATGATCAGCACATGGTAAAATATATTTATACAGCCATGCCCAAATAAGATGTATATGCCAAATCATAAATATTCTCCCACAAAAATACACAAAGACACATAAATGCATGGACAAAGATGTACAGTTACATAAAAAAGATTAGAATGGAATTCAGTTTAGCTGTTTGAATCCTCCTGAATCTTTCTCTTTCCCAACCCAGATTCCTAAAACAATTGAATTCATAAGTCAAGCACAAACAAACAAGAACACAAGAATCGTGGGAAAAGTATTGCACATCCCTCAGTCTTCAAAAATCAAGTAAACTTTAAAAAAAAATAATAGAAGGCAGCCAAGCATCTGTAGCTCACGAACTATAATCCTAGCAATTCAGGAGGCTGAGATCTGAGGATTCCAGTTCAAAGCCAGCCCAGGCAAGGACTCTTATTTCCAGTTAACCACAAAGAGCTAGAAGTGGAGCTGTGGCTCAATTGAGCTCTAGCTTCGAGCCCAAAATTTCAGGGACAGTGCCCCAGCCTTGAGTTCAAGCTCTAGGACTGGCAATAACAACAACAACAATAATAGAAGGCAGTTTGGAATCAGTGACTCTTGCCTGTAATCCTAGCTACTCAGAAGGCTGAGATTTGAGGATTACCATTCAAAGTAAGCCTGGGAAAGAAAGTCCTTGAGACTTTTACCTCCAATTAATCACCAAAAACCTAGAAGTGGAGCTGTGGCAAGAGGTAAGAGCGCTAAGCAAAAATACTCAGGGACAGTGCCCAGACCCTAAGTTAAAGCCCCAGGGCTGGCACCAAAATAATAACAACAACAATAGTAATAATAGAGGCCAGGAGCTGGTGGCTCATGTTTGTAATCCTGTCTCTCAGGGAGCTGAGATCTAAAGATCTCAGCTCAAAGCCAGCTCAGGTAGAAAAACTCATTTGACTTTTATTTCCATTTAACCAGCAAAAAGCCAGAACTGGATCTGTTCCTCAAGTGGTAGAGCACCAGCCTTGAGTGAAAAAGCCAAGTGAGAGCATGGAGTCCTGAGCTCAAGTCTGTGTACTGGTATTTAAAAAAATAATAGAAATAGAAGACAAAGAATCTGAATAATACAATTAACAGAGACAATTAAATAGACAAACAGTAAGTAAACTGAAGACAGAAAATATACCTTCATTTCCAGCACTCTTGAAGCACTTAGAATAAATAAAAAGCCACAAAGCAAATTTTCATGAAGTTCCAGAAATAAAACCCATAACAATCATATCTCTCACCATCTTGGAAAAGAAAAACTTGAAATTAATTTTTTTAATTCTAAAATTAAAATTCAAGTCTTGATCAGGCAACGGTGGCTCATGCTTGTAATCCTAGCTACTCAGGAGGCTAAGATCTGAGGATCGCTATTCAAAGCCAGCCTGGGCAGGAAAGGTCATGAAGGCTCATATCTAATTAATCACCAGAAAACTAGAAGCAGTGCTGTGGCTCAAAATGGTAGAGTACTAGCTTTGAGCAGAATAGCTCAGGGATAGCACTCAGGCCCCGAGTTCAAGCCCTACAAAAAAAAAAAAATCCAGTCTTCCAGTAATTCAAAGGCACACTTTTAACTACAGTGAATCAAATAGAAACTTAGAAAACAACAAAAATGCCAACAATTTATAATTGAAGACAAGCTTATATGCAAAGGAAAATTCAATAAGTGTTTTCATTTTTATACAAAAAGAATATAAATAACCTGAGAATTCAAGAAATTGTAAATAAGAGATTAAAGAAAACTGTAAATAGCAGTGATTATATTAGAAAGAATATTACAATTAGTAGCTAATAACTCACAGAAAGAGTTCAAAAGATGAATAAAAGATATAAGCACTTATTTTATCTTTTAAAAGCCTAACTTTTAAAAGTAGATACACATTAAAAATAAAGAAAAATTAAATAAAAATATATTATGGGAGAGAATAAAATAGACATAAATCAATAGCAAAATCTCGGAAAATCTAAAAGTGTAGGAATTTATAGTTTTCTAGAAAATACAAATCAAAAGCCCAATTCAAAACATGAACATTTCAATAACCCTGAAATTAGAAAAGCTCTACCATAAAGAGCTACCTCCAAAAAGATATCAGGCCAAGATAATTCAGCCTTTCAAAGAGGAAATCATTCTTTATCCTCTGGCTTAAAAGAAAAAGGAAAGAAATCCCATTCATTTTATGAATAAAAGCCTAACAAAGACATATACATACAGATTAATCTCATTCCTGAACAAAGATATAAAGATCCTAAATATGCTGGGCACTGATGGCTCACATGTGTAATCCTAGCTACTTAGGAGGCTGAGATCTGAGTCCTGCTCAGATCTGGCTCAAAGCCAGCCAGAGCAGGAAAGTCAGTGCAACTCTTATCTCCAAGCAACCACTAGAAAACCGGAAGTGCTGCTTTAGCTCAGAGTGGTAGAGCACTAGGCTTAAGCAAAAAAATCTCAGGGATAGTGCCCAGGCCCTGAGTTCAAGCCCCACAACTGACAAGTAAATGAAACAAAAAAGAGAACCTTAAACATAACATTATCAAATTGTAGCTGTGGATCTGGCCTAGTCAATGTGAATTAGATCAGATAGACACATTCAACAAAGTAGCAGGATATAAAAACTATACACAAATCAGGAGCTTGCTGAAAAAGAAATCAGGAGAACAATCACAATCACAATAGTCTAAAAAAAAAACTCAGACAAAAATCCAATGAAAGATATTAGAGACCTCTACAATGAAAGTCTAACAATGGAAAAATGAATAAAGAAGACATGGTCTATTACTGGATAGTAAAAGGAATGAGGAACTGATACCTGCTGTATGAATGGACTCTGAAAACATTGTAAGCAAAGAGAAGTTGATCACAGGAGACCACATACTGCATGATTCCATTTATATGAAATGAGACAATTCAGTGAGTGGTTGCCAGAGGCTGAGAATGGTTAGGAGGAAATGAAGAGTGACTGCTCTGAGCTAAGATTTCTGTTTGGAATGATGAGGATAGTCTAAAATAGATTATGGTGATGGTTGCACAACTCTGTTAATATACTAAAAAACACCAAATTGTACACTTTAAATAGGGATGTATGTTTATGTGGGCTATCTCCACAAAGTTGTCAAAACAAAAAGTAACAAATGACCAAGTACAAGTGTAGAAGTAAAGTACAGACTTAAGAATAAAAGTAGAAATCTCAAGTGTATATTCTAAGGATGGAATTTTTTGTTTGTTTCTTTACTGGGTTTGAACCTAGAGATCTTGCTTGGCTTTTTCACACAAGACTAGTACTCTACCACTTGAGCTACAACTTCACTTTGGGCTTTTGGCTGGTTAATTGGAGATAAGAATCTCATGGACTTTCCTGTCCAGACTAGCTTTGAACCACTAATCTCATATTTCAGTTAGAATTAGAGGCATGAGCCAAAGTGCCTGGCTTAAGAATTTAATTTTTTTTAAAAACAGAATAGGAGTTGGCCACCAAACAGGATCTATGCTTTGTTGCACTCAGCTTACCTATGAACCTCTCTCAGGTGCAATTTTCTCTTCACTCTAAGCTCCAGGAGATGGCTGGTGGCTCCTGAGTGGTGAATAGCATACCATGACCTTTCTAGCTCCTAGTCACACTCAGTCACTCACCAGTAACTTCCATCTCCATTGTCTGCCTGCATTCCACAGATAAACACTTCTAACCAAATGCTCTCACCTTTAACCCTAATTGTACATGCAGCTGAACC